CCTGCTCTGTTCCATTTGGAGAGTGGACACAGCCAAAGTCAAGCTCAGCAGCCATTTTATTACATTAAGCTTTCCTCAAAAAGGAAAGAAACAAAGAGTGGTTGGCAAAACCTTAAAAAGAAGATTTACTGAATAACTAGAAGAACAAAATATGAGAACTTGTCTCTCCTTTTTTTAAACTGAATTTTGTTTTTGTATTCAGAAAAGCACTTAGCCGTCCTGCTGGCCTTTGGCCCTGCTGTACCTCCCCTATCACCAGCCACTGGTGCACCAGACTGGTTGGGCCTATGCTCGGGTGTAACCCGCAGCTGGGCTGCTAACCTGGACTCAGTAAAACAGGCAAGGCCTGACACAGCAGCTGTCACAGTGATAGACACTGATAGATGATAGATAGAGACAGGAACTCTCTTACAAGAACACTTACTTTCTTAAAGGAGATTTATCCGCTCTTCTCACCTCCCAAGTGTCCACAGACCTCCCCTCACTCAGTGAGATGCCTCATTTTCACACTGTAGAGTGACTGTTACAAACCCTTTGCCTTTTTCACTCACTGCGTGTGTGTGTCTGTATGTTAGGGTTACGTCAGTGTGCACCTGTGTGTTCATGCACCCAAACTGTTGGGTGTGGTCTTTCTCAAAGGCAGCATGTTATACACTCTTAGAGGGTGGCGAATAGACCGCCAGCTGAGCTGCCATGGTTACTGATTTTTTTAAAGGAACTTTAACCTGTTTTGACCCTTATCCTATTCTCCTGACAGCCATGTAATGGCCCAAAGGATATTCATGTCCTCACAAACACATGCACTCATCTGAAGAGGAAGGCTGGAACACTTTTTGCCTCTTTAAGCCTTTTCTCAAGGACGAAGGATGATCTCTTTTTTTAATTATTGCAATTTGGTTGCCAATAAGAGATTGCACAGTCTGTTGACTCTAAAGAGTACAAAATAGGGAATTTTAGAAAGCATTTTAATTAGTACAAAACGAACAGAAAATGCTAAAAGAACACATTATTGTTAAGAAAAACGTAATTAGAGTACAATAATATTTCATTCTTACACAATACTATACTTCACATAGTACTTTAGCTGTACAACATGGTGATACCACACCTGTCACGCACAGTACTGGTCATCTGAGTGTGTGCTCAAAGTTACTGTTCACAGTACACGTTATAGGCCAAATCAGGAAGAGTGTGTGTGTGTGTTTGTGTCTGTGTTTGTTTTTAATGCCTGCATGTACAATAGGGTTGGGTTAAATTCACTTTAATGTTAAAAAGAAAAATACAATGACTGAAAAAATGGTTTAGCCAACAAGCTAGAATCAACAGAAATGATTATTTTGTGTTAAGAAGTGGATTAACCCCCACCCATTGTGAGCAGTAACCACTCTCCTCCAGTCTATCCTGTATCCAGGGATTTGAATCTTTTAGCATTGAATTCTACTGTATACACTACAAATCAAAGGCATATCACCTCCTCCCTGTCCCACACAAGCCCTCAGTGCCTGTCAGCCCACTGCCTCCCCTGTGTGTGTGTGTGTGTGTGTGTGTGTGTGTGTGTGTGTGTGTGTGTGCGTGTGTGTGTGTGTGTGTGTGTGTGTATGTATGTGTGTGCGCACATGCGTTAAGACGCATGTTTGCAAAGCATGTGTGATTGAAGAGTGTTTTTTATGTGTGGGGTCATACTTCGTATCTACTTGCACACACTACTAGTGCACAACTGACACCCTTCTTTAAGCTGTTTGATGCGTTACCATTACATTAATCTTCTCACAAAGTAGTGTAATACTATGATTTACTGTAGTTTGGTTTTTATTGCTTTTTTGCATTTATAGTTTGGTTTTTATTCTGCTTATTTATAGGTGCTGTATTTTTTCATGTAATGTCTTATCATTTGAGTTGTCTATTATTAAGGGATTATACTGTTCAGAGGGCAAGTAACATTTTTATTAGACTTATAGACTGCCGGCAGTATTGGTTAATATTTACAAAGATGTACTAGTTCTCATTTGTTTTGTATATTCAAGAGTCCTAAAGTTTAGTGTCATTTCAATTGCTTATAATGTTGTGTTTGCTACATGCTCCCATTAGCATTAAGCTAACAAGACAGTTGTGCTCTTAAATTGCTTGGTAGAGTATCAAAAGACATATCAATATTAGTGCGATAGCTTTTCTCTCTTCAGTTCTAATCTCCAGGTATCATTTTGGATGATGTGCCCAATGCCTAAAACTTAGCAGGGCTTGCAGTTTTATTGCAGAATTTACCCATAAACTGTTAACATTTACATGTTTTAGAAGGTCCAAATGTGTACATGTTGAAAAGGTCAAATGAAATTATCTAAACTTGAGAATACATTTTCACTTGAAAGGTCATATCTGCCAAATTGAGATTAGAGAAGTGTACCAGCGAGCAGGTGTGCTACGCCAGATTGAACAGATAGCCAGCCTATGATTATGCAGAATTTGTATAGCAGTCTGTAACAAAGCACTTAGGATCTTTATGAAGATTTATCCTGGGACAGGGTCCAGAAACACTATCACTAAATATAATCCCAAAATGCTGGGGTATATTTGCCTTTAAACGTGGTTGTGAACCAAGCACAGACACAGTATCCCAACACTAAATAAATATTATGCTCTTGCTATGTTGAAGTAGAACTTATGAAGCCACCCTCACTTCAGAGCATCAGATACACAGTAGAGGCAAACTCATTGGCCTTTGTTTTAATTTTCCCATTTCAGTTTCTTTTGTAATCCTTGAAATTAGGACCCTTCCCTTAAAATATACACATGTCAGATTTTAATTCATTGCACTGGTAAAAGATCTATTGGTCAAATTGGATTTTGTAGCGTGTCTGATATTTGTAAAACCCTGAAGCATATGCTCTTCCTGTGGACGGCTGATGTATAACATGAGTCTTCTGCAAATTAAAGGCGTGCTGCCTTCTGCTGGACTGCTTGAACTGATTAACCACCGTGTGTTTTATGGTGATAAATAGCTACTGTAAAATTTAAGCACTTGACCTATTTTATCTAATCCATCAACTCATCTCAACCACATGAGATCATCAGATTTGTGCCTTTAACTGCCAAGCAGGGCACCAAACTAGTGATGTCATTAGACTATTTCACCTCAGTTGTCCATATTCAATATGTATCCACACACCTCGTTTGAGGACTCAAGTAAACATTTCTCAGCTCTCTGGAGAGGGGTGTATATACCAACAAACTGCAGAGTGCAGTGAAAAAGCAACTTCAACATATGACTGACCTGAAGACATGCTTTGGTCCAGGTCTTATTTCAGACAGTCTCCCACAGTGCATTTCTTCTGTTGTACATATCTAGCATTGAAAGGCCAGAGCATTGAATGAAGGAGGAAGCATGCTGAAACAGCGTACACTGTAATAACACTGAATTTCTTCATAGGGCATTTTGTATTTTTTCTGTTTGTGTCAGGTTTGCTGTGACATTTATAAGGGCACTACAGGTATTAATAAAAGGTGTGCCAATTGTAATGGTTATTTGGAAAAGAGAGGTGTAAATACCGTTGCTCCAGTAGCTATTGATTCACTTTTGTCACGGTATGCTTTTGTTTGAAGGCAGGAGAGAAGGGACGATTCAGGACTTTTCCATAATCCAGATATTTTTCTACAAATTTAAATCAGATAAATCTATACACTGTTGAATAACATTGTAAAGGTGTAACAGATGCTGTATATCATTATCTTGTTTTCTGAAGTCGTAAAGCTTTACTGTATGATCTGTTGAAGTAGTGGTTATTCATTGACATTAGTTGTAATGGAAGCCCGAGCAGCAGCACTGGTCACCATATTCAGGAAAAAAGAAAGACAAACCTCAGACGTTTTTGTAATACTTTTGAAATATAACTTATGAAGTGGGTTTTATAAGGAAACACTTTCCGAATTAGTGGTGCTATATACATGGCACACTCAGTAATACATACACGTGTGATACAGCACAATGATCTCACCCTCTAACTACCCCTTCACTTGCAAATTGGCTCCAGCTAACTTCAAGTCTTAAACCATATCCTTTATTTGTTCAGTTGTTTCTACTGTACAGTTAAACATTTCACTGAAAACTTGTAAGACTTAAAAGAGTAAGCAAAAAGCCAAAAAGTGAAGTAGTTGTCCACTTCTGTTGAAATATTGCTGACACTTTTCTGTGTGTTGCTACCTAGTGTCGTTGCTTCAGTTCACCCAGGGCTTCAAACACAGTGTAGTCTGAACCAAAAGACCTGGGGACCCCACCCCTTGGAAAGCTTTAAAATGCTTGTTGAGGCTTTAGCAAGTTCAGAGTGTTTTTAGACGATTTTCCCAACCTGTCATCAACAATGTTGAAGTAATAATTGTCATAACCTCTCCACTGCTTTCTTTGTGCGTTTGCGAGTCTGCGTGTATGTGTGTTGTAGATCAAAAGGCTGCATGACTGTAAAGGGATGATTTCAATGTTTTTGAAAGCTGTTTCCTTAGCACTTCTGTCACTCCTGAAAATCTTATTTTCTCTTTGGGGTTTCCCACCTATTGTTTTTCTTCATGTATCATTGTTTCCTTATCTTTATATTTACTAAATGTACCATGTTGTTTGTTCTCAGCACTGTAAAACAGTCCCTTTTACGACATTGAAAAGCAATATCACTGTATGAAATGTTCACAATGTATTTGTTATGATTGACATTTGATTCATCATCATTATTCACATGCACCCTAGGTGTGATAATTGAAGTAAATCTCTTTTATACAAATACTATGAGTGTGCTTAATGCGTTTGGTGTAGAGTTTTTATATAACGATAAATTCAAGTATTCTCAGAGGAAAATTCCAGGTTGTGTATTATTTTAAAGAGGACTTTAAGTTGTGCTGTACTATAGTTTGTGAGATGTTTTCATGAGTCACAGGTGAGTGCTCTTTGATACCTTACTTTATACAGTACTGAGTGGTATGAATGGTCCCAGTGATGTGTCTTCTTTGCTTGTGGACAGGGCGCTATGCTGAGCTGCAGTTGGAGTTTTCAGCTGCCGTCAGGACCAGTGCTGAGCAGAAGGAGCTCATTCTGAAGCTGGAGCATGATTTGAGCACGGTCCACACCATGTCGTCTCTGACCCGTCCCAGCGCAGACGGCTCTGAGGTCACTGATATGGGCAACATCCCGGAACCTATCAAAGAGGCTACTGCTATGTTTTCTGGCATGTTCAATTTGAAAACGTCACTAATATTACAAGAGAATTACTGTAGTTCTGCTTTTAAAACCATGTCTCTTTCAGGTCCAGGTGTGAATCCACACAATGTTGAACTTCCACAGGGCCAGATGGACTCTCTGCTCTCCATTATCTCAAGTCAGCGTGAAAGGTTTCGCTCCCGCAACCAGGAGCTTGAGGCTGTAAGTCTTGCAATATCATTCCAACCAAATAAAAAATATAGTATTAGTAGTATTTTTGTGACTTGTTTTATGTTCCATACCTGCTCAGGAGAGCCGCTCTATGCAGCAAACAATGCAGGCCCTGCAAAGTGAACTGGACAGTCTGAGAGCAGACAACATTAAACTCTATGAGAAAATAAAATTCCTGCAAAGCTATCCAGGCAAAGTAAGCATCCATATGTAAAAACATTGTTTCTAGTATTCAAATGAATTGGAATCCTGAGTGTGTGTGTGTTTTTGTTTTAAAGGCTGGAGGAAGTGATGACACAGTGATGCGCTACTCCTCACAGTACGAGGAAAGACTGGATCCATTTGCCTCCTTCAGCAAGAGGGTATATGTCTGACCTAACCATCATGGGACAGTATGATTACTGTTATATTATTACTCTTTGTCATCTGCATTGTACTGTGTTCATAGGAGCGCCAGCGCCGCTACCTGAGCCTGAGCCCTTGGGATAAAGCCACTCTGAGTCTTGTGAGAAAATCATTAGAGCACAAACATGGCATCCACAGTGACAAGTATAATGTATATTATTTGTGTAATCTTGTTTCAGGGGAGAGTGATTTTATCCAACAAGATGGCTCGGACCATTGCCTTCTTCTACACCCTGTTCCTACATTGCTTAGTGTTCTTGGTATGGCTAATATCTCCTTACAGTCACTTAAAATATCAAAAATACATAATGCCTTACCTTTTTTTTTTGTGTGCAACTATTAGGTGTTGTACAAGACTGCGTGGAGTGAGAGTATTGGGAGAGACTGCTCTGCTTTCTGTGCTAAGAAGTAAGTTAAATATAGTGGTGCAGTTCTTGCATCATGTTATTTATTTATATTTGCTTCATGTCACTTTTATTCTGTCTTTTAGGTATTCAGACCATCTCCATCGTTTTCATGAGAATGACCAAAACCTCTAAATGTTCACCCAGTCTGTGATTTAATTGGGTACACTCTCTGAAATTATCCAATTCACTCACTAGAGGGCGCTTTACATAAATTGATACAAGTTGAGCTTGCTTAATATGGTATTAGGTTAATAGTGCAATTTATGTTATTTTTCTGGAACAATCAACACACAATGACTTTCAAAATATAACATGAACGGGACTAGTATTAGGATTAATAGACCCTATAAATTTATGATTGTGTTAAAATATAATCAGTAATTTGGTGTATACACTCTAGGATGATTTGATATTATGTTGTGTTTTTCATGAGGTGATGGTAGTTGGGAGTAGTTTTTCAGTTTCTATCATAAAATGTTGATGAATATTATAACAGTTACTGATTTTGGAAAATGTATTCATTCCTTGCTATAATCCAAATAAAAATGTATGCAATGCTTGTGTTTCTCTTATAAATGAAAGTGTAAAACAATGGGCTATGTTAAAGAACAGCATTCTAAGCAGTTATAACTATAACTACTATATATATATATATAACTCCATCATTATCAAAGATCAAATTAAAACAATGGAAGTTGAGGTGGGTGGGTACCAATTTTACAAAGAACGTTTTATTGTACTGCTCAAATAAATTTAAAGATCTTAGGTTTTCATGAAAGGGACATTGTCAAAAGGCCCTATATAACGCAAAATGGATTCTCGTGAGCTTTTAAAACATTGTAATTTTACCTCCTCAAAAACATAGTTGTTGTGTTTTATTTGATTCACAGATGTTTGAGTAAACCTGCATTATTGGGCTCTCAAAATGCTCTTTTCTGTCTTGTGATGTCATGATTGAAGCGGTAGTTTTCAAATTAGCAGCTACCTTGTGCCTTTAGTTCAGCAGAAAGACGCAAATCCAAGGCTGAAATTATCCACGTGATTTTAGTGAAGGTGTGTGCAGTTTAAAATCACAGTGGAGTACTCCCTGTATTACCACACGACATTACAAGGTGGGGTGTTTTGGTGAGGAAACAACATAACATAGATCAGAAAATGGTTAATATGGACTTTTTAAGTAAGCCATTAAGTAAAAGAAATCATGTTACTTTGGGTCGCATGGCCAGTGCAGGCCTATAATATTTTTTCTCTGGTTGCAAGCTGTCCCAACAAGCAGTAGTCTGGACAGGAAGACATGGCGTAGAACATCTGACTCGCTCCGTTTGTTGTCTGCTTCTTAAGACTGAAGAAGACTGCACAATTCATGAGAAGCCTCCTCGCGGTCATTAAAAGCGAAGGAGACTGACGGGCCAGAGACACCTCCGCTCTTCGGCGTGCGCGCCCCTAGCGGCCCGCTCAAGCACGTGAGTCCCGTTCACCATAAATATAAGGCCACATCCAGCAGCAGAATATCTAGGTCAAATGATCTGAGCGGGGCAGTTAACGTTCACTTGTATGACCCTTGAAAACATTTTGGCCTGACAGGTTCGGTCAGTAGAGGGCAGTAGTGGGCTAGGAGCAGGAGGACCACTCATCAGCAGCCGAAATTAGCAGAAACATGAGTTGTTGTATGTAAATCAAATATCATATTCAGACAAAAGGAAATTGCTTTATTAAAGTAAATTGGTAACATAGGCTACTACTCTTTAGACTGAGTGATCTGTAGGTATTTTGTTATAGTGGGTGTTTATGTCCTTGTTATTTAAAGGTCTTATATTACACAAAATTGTCTCTTATGAGCTTTAAGACCTCATCGATATGCCCGGAGTTGAGTTTTTCATTCACACATGTTTGAGTAATGCTGCATGCTGTATTAGGTTGTCTATATCTCCAAAGCTCAAAATGCTCTATTTCACCTTGTGATGTCATGTAGTGGTAGTTTGGCTACATTTTACCTTTAGTTCATCCTAATGATTCTGGTGAAGATGTATGGAGTTTAAAAACACAGTGGAGCATTTCCTGTTTTACCATATGACATCACAAGGTGGAATAGAGTGTTTTCTCTTAGAACTCAGCCTAAATAGGCAGGGTTTGTGTGTTAAATGTGTGAATGAAACAGAACACCACTCCAGGGATGTTTTTGATGAGGAAGCAGCATTATAACATAGATAGAATAATATGGGCCCTTTAAATTGCTTACTGCTCCCACTGACTAACTCACAATAATGCATCGGGATGTTCATTGGTCACACTCCAGGACAAAATAGAAGGGTCATGTGACATGTTTTAAGAATTATATAAACATACATCAAGGGATGTAAATAATCTAATATAGATCCAATAGCCCTACCTCATTGGTGGACTAAATAGCCTACTCACTTTTGATACTCAAGTAATAATACAGATAAAGAGGCAACAAGTTACTTAAGTAAAAGTATAGTATCTCCTAAAAGTAAAAATACTGAAGCTATTCAACAATTTAAAAATGTAGGCCCACTTAAAGATTAAAAAGTAAAAGAAAGCTATTTCAAGTGTTAAATGTGTTGCCAAAGGATTCATCTGTGGGAGCTGGAATCACTCCACCAACCTGTGGGTCAGTGGATCTGACCACTCTCTCAATGATCGAGATGAGAGTGGGATTTGAACTGCCAACCTTCAAATCAGTGGACAAACACTGTACCAACTGAGCTCCTGTCTACAGTATAAAGTGTTCACTGTACATGTTATAACTCATAATTATATTAAGGAACAATCAATGCTTACCTCCCGGCTCAAGTCCTGCATGTCTGAAAATAACCCCACCTGTGCCCATTTTGTGAATAGCATTGTGCATGAGTGAGAGGGTGTTTATTTCATAGATCTCCTTCATGATGCAGGCGAGGGGACAGATGATGTCTGAAGTCATTGGAATGTGTTCATGCACTGATGCATTCATAGTTGAATAGTGCTGAATTTTGTAATGTAATGTGAAAAGCCCAAGGGATATAATTACTTACTGTGATATAAATAAATAAGTAAATGAAAAACAAACAAAAAATCAAAATGAACTAACCACTATTGATGCACTGTCCCACTGAAAAAAAATTTACCTTTAAAAATATTTTCAATTCATCTGAAGGGTAGTCTAAAATATAAGTAGGTATTCTGCCAAACAAGACCTCACTGTCTCCTTTGTCATCCTCCTGTTTGTTTTTGTGTTAGAAAACACCTAAGACACTGCACAGTGTCCCCGTTTACCCCAATTCACCATTGCATTTCTTTTAGTCCACTAAAAGCACTCATGAAGGATAACAACTATGTGTTTATTTCATCTGAGCATGCCCCATTACCTCCACCACCCCCACTGTCGTTACCATAGAAACTGTTCCTTTGTCATGTGATCACAGGGGAAACGCCCCCATACAACAACATTGAGGATTTAACCACGTGATCCTGCATGCCCGTCAGAGAGGGCACTATGATAGAAAAGTAATTTCTTAGATGATTTTTTAAAGACATCCCTCAAGTAGTGTTCAACATAATTAATCAGGTTCAAGTTCTAGGCTATAACACATGAAATACAGTAGGTTTAGTAATACACCAGTGCAAATTATGGCATTTTGAAGGAATAAACAAATAATTTCAAGTGTGAAAAGACTCCTAAAAGTAGAGTTATGTTGACCTAGAAATAATACAATTATGGTCTTGTTAAGATATGCTTTATTTGTTCTCTGCATCTGACCCATCACTCCCACATCACAGCCATCACAGCCACAGTGCAGTGCCTGGGTAATCATGACCAGATATAGGCTTTGTGTGACTATACCTGGAGAATATTGCCTATTGTCCATGCTTTTAGATCAGGGTTTCTTAACCTTTTCAATCTTGGGGCCCGACTTTTTCCAAACAAAGTAACCTGGGTCCCTGTCTCATATTAAATGCATTATTTTGTACTGATTGTGGGACCCCTAAGAAGGTGGTCCGGGCCCTACTTTGGGCCTCGGCCCTATGATTAAGAATCACTGTTTTAGATTGATGGTGGAATGTTGGAGCTGTCTTTAGTTTAACTAGACTTGGCCCTAATTGTTCGCAAAAAATAAATAAATAAAATACTTCTACTACTACTACTGCTACTACTACTACTACTACTACTACTACTACTGCTACTAATAATAATAATAGTAATAAATGGTGAGGGAAATATTTCCTTGTTGGAAAGTTAAAATCTTGCACCACTTCAAGATGCTATGAGCAGTGTAGGCGGCACTTTGTCACTCCCAATATTTGTGAAACAAAGACATTATCCAGAATCACCCATCTAAAAACAAAATCAGTGAGTGAATCATTACTCTCTCTGGGAGCAGGTGATTTGCTGGACACCTCATAGAAAGAAAAACTAAACAGAAGTAGATAAGACAGTTGTTTACTTATTTCTTATTTATTTCTAAGAAACAACAATTGTGTATTCCTGTGTTTTCACGGCCAAGCCTGCGCATAAGTTAAACAGGCCCACACTGAGATGTGTGTAGTCTCCATGTAAAGGTGTTAGATACAGAGTTTTCCTGGTGTGGAGACAGAGAGGAATCTCCTATTAATGCCCGCTGACACATTGATTCTCAAATGGCCCCATGAGGCCAATCTCCAAGTCCAGCTCGAGATGCTTTCACAGGAAATCAACTGAAAAGTGCCTCTCTTCTCTCGATTGTCTCCAGACCCCTCCCTCCTGCAGCTGACCCCTAAAGTCTTAACCTGGTATATTTTTGAACCTGCGATCAATGCCCCCCACGTCACTGCATGTTGTTTGCGCTCCACCGTGATGAGTAGAGTAGTGGGGGTTATGGGACCATGGGTAGAGCCATGTACAAAAACATGGAAACAAAGTGTGGAGGAGACTGAAGTGGCTCCTGCCCCACAGGGCTCTGTCGATTCATCCTTCCGGCAGGAAGTGTGTGGCAATCAATATAAGGTCTCAGAGGAGAGTCAGACCTGCTGTGCTTCAGTTTCATAGGAACCTTCTCACTACATTTAGGCCATGAGCTGACAAGCACTGAATTTAACACACACACAGTTACTTTTGGTGTGAAGACAAGAGGTCTTTTTGACTCATTTTGTTATAAATTAAACTGGACTAGATTTTCTGACGAGTCACAGTCACTGATGCAGTAGTAAATAAAAACAGTGGTATCCTATTTTGCCACCTGTCCCAGTGTAGCTCCAAGTTATTATTTTGACCATCAACCTTTGGCCTTGGTGTGTGGCCAGAGTCAATCCTTTCAAAGAGGATTATAGTAAAGGTGTAGGCCTACACTATCCTTGGTGCTATATGGATGTGTTGTTGAAGGGCAGTAGGCTAATATTACAGTATATTACTATATTAAAGATTAAACTTTAGCTTTAATGGCATTTTTAATATGGTCGCATCATTGTTATAATATCAACAAAATGAGTGTTTAAACATAATCTTATATTTTTTATTATAATGATATAATTGGGAGAATAAAAAGGTGTGGCTCCTTTAAGGTCAGTTGGACGCTGTTAA